CGGCTGGGACACCAGAAATGTACCCATGTGGGAATCGAACCCGGGAGTTCGGCGTGACGGGCACACACTGTAACCAATAGGTTACCCCACCGCCCCCGTAAGAAGTACGTCGCTTTAAGCAATATTCGAAAAATAACACGGATGGGGACACTAGAAATTAGCGTCACATCCCCATCCAGGGGAATCGAATCTTGGTCCTCGGCGTGACGAGCGAACGCTTTAACCACAAGGCTACCCCACTGACCCCTACAAGACAAATCGTGCCCCACATCTTATGACACGCCGTGATGGAAATGAAACAACTGTTCAAACAACTGTACAACTCGACGCCCACTCATATATTACGACCTGGGTACATGTGACGAATTCCGATACAACCGACTGTCAGATCAAAGGAGCGAAAAGATTTAATCAGATCTCGCTCCAAGCAGAGCGTTCGGTACTTTGTTTCAGTCCCTGAACCACATCATTTTCCCTACTGCCTAGCCCTCCCTGTAATGCTAAAGCCCTAAATGAAGCAAGTATAGATTTATATATACGATATGTGGGGAATTTTGTGTGCGTGTGGTTTACCAGGCAGTTGGAGTTTGGGGAGATTTTATGAAACTTCATTACATTTCTTTGAGAGGCATTTTCGAGTGAGTGAGTGAGCGAGTTTAGTTTTACGCCGCACTCAGCAATATTCCAGCTATATGGCGGCGGTCTGTAAATAATCGAGTCTGGACCAGACAATCCAGTGATCAACAGCATGAGCATCGATCTGCGCAATTGGGAACCGATAACATGATGTCAACCAAGTCAGCGAAACTGACCACCCGATCCCGTTAGTCGCCTCTTACGACAAGATAGTCGCCTTTTTATGGCAAGCACATGGGTTGCTGAAGACCTATTCTACCCCGGATCTTCACGGGTCAGAGGCATTTTAGAAGTTGTATAGATCAAGGAAACCAAGTTCTATTGATTTCGATGTGTCACTTGCTTGATAACAGTGTTAGTACCTACACTAAAACGTCGCACTCATTGCAATGAAGAAGTTGACTATCCATATTCCTTCAACTTCATTACATACTGAATTCTGGTAATTCTTCTTTACCATGTTACGACCACTTCAGAATATTTGATGCTTTCGAGACTAGTTGTAAAAACGAAAATGTAGAATTTACAATATTGTCAAATCTTTTTAAACAAAATGGTAGACTTGTAGATTATTCATTACATCATCTCGTGACGTCAACGCATAATGTAGCGAAACATTCGTTATCCAGGAATTTCTACATGCCGCACGATGTCCCTTACAAAGAGTCATCATTTCGTACAACCTGGGGCAGAACACCGACAGTACAACAAGGTTATGCTGCCTCAAAACGTCTGCTGCAACAGGTGTCTCGTGGTGCCATAAAACATAGATATACACTCATCTGTGATCTATATACTGAACCCCATACGTTCTGCCCCGGGGCGGTGGGGTAGCCCAGTGGTTAAAGCGTTCGCTCGTCACGCCGAACACCTGGGTTCAAATCCCCACATGGGTACAATATGTGAAGCCCATTTCTGGTGTCCCCCGCCGTGATATTGCTGGAATATTGCTAAAAGCGGCTTAAAACTAAACTCACTCGTACAATCAGCCTGGTGACGTGTCTTATATCTTCAGATCTCCCGGACTGACAAACACCTCCAGTCACGTGATCTCCACGACTGATAAAACCCGTGACGATCCGGGTTAGAATTGGTCTTCAGAAACCTATTAAAGTTGTTTGTCAATCTGGGAGATCATATGACATTTGTAATTCAATCATGACAGTTGTTTTTTCAGCCGTGGTTTGTTTGTTTGCTGTTTAATTGCGCACTCGGCAATATTCCAGCTATACGGCGGTGGTCTAAGTAATGAGAATGAGCGTCGATCTACGTGGATACCAAGATGTGTGTCAACCAAGTCAGCGAGCCTGACCACCCGATTCCGGTAGTCGCCGTTTAAGACCACCATGTGTGGCTGAAGACCAGTTTTAATCCAGATGACATGCATGGCCATGGGTTGCTGAAGACCAATTCTAACACGGGTCTTGCTGAAGATGATGTCCATCTGTCTTATATCAAGTCTATCGGCCTGCTCGCGCCTGTAATCCTCATAAAGATGTCTATCTCCTCTTTTGTTCCAGTAATTAACTCAGGAGGTTTGCAAATTGCAAGTACACAAGTTTTGTCTAATGAGTAGACAATGGTGAGGATATCTACATACACAATCGAACAATTCTAACCCGGATTATTCACCAAGCCAACCACATGTCCCAATATTCACATGTACTTTATTTGGACAAAAGCAAATATAAGTTCTTCCCTCTGTGAGAATGAGGAAAATCATAAACCAAAGCACCACTTGAAAAGTATTTCTTTGCAATATCCAAAGTATTTTCTACGTCTGACAACATACGGGGGTAGAACTGCAGAACAGCTCGTCCATCTTCATCAAGACAGTCGTGCAGAGATGACAACAGCATCCCCATGTATCTGTGACAGTCAGGCAGGGTGTAGATCCACTGTAAGGCTGAAATACTCACAACTGTGCCAACACAACTAGCTCGAAAAGGTAAATGATAGAAAATATTTAGTTTCACACAATCCTGACTGTTCAGTTTATCTTTACAAATACTTAACATAAACGTATTACTGTCTGTCCCGACCACAAAATAGCCAACGCTTTTCAAGATGGCAGAGCTAATTCCGGATCCACTACCAATGTCAAGGACGCAGGGATTCGTTGAGAGAGGTTTCGTGTACTCCAATAGCTCAACGGCTTTCTGACTGAGTTCTGTTCGTATTCTGTGCATTCGTTCACTTCGCGTATACATCGCTGATTTAGCTTGGTCATAAATGTCCTCAGAATACCCTTTCAGCTCAGGTCGCCTTTGAGCTCCGCCACGAACCGTCCTTACTTTGAAAGGTTTCAAACTGTGCACTTGTTCGTAAGTATCGGGGAATTTGAAAACATTCCTGTCTGGTTGCAACAAAAAATACATTCCTCTGCATAAGGCATTGTTACCGTGTATTAGCTTCACACATTGCTGATGTGGCATAAAATACCATGTCTGTGTTTTAAGACGAACTGGTTTTAAAATCTGCCCCTTCCACAAGTTGTACATGGTAACAAGTCGCGGATATAGTCCCCGACAAGAGGCACTTGCGTTTGATCGGTACTGTACGATTGACTTACATTCTGGTGCACCGATATAAAGTCATCGTGGCCTCTTGTGTCGTGACTGAACTACTTCGTTGTTAGATGTAGTTTGTACATGACGCAACATGAAGTTACTGACCCATGCGTCCTAAATCCGGGCCTGAAACACATGGAGCGGTACCCGCTAGCAGTCCCTCCTTCCGATTACACCGGTCAATACGTACTAAAACGAAATAATACATGCTGTAGTAGCTGTCGCCCTTGATTGGATTGACAAGTGTGTACATGGCCATATTGCTGTTACTGATCGTAGCCTATTTATATTACCATAAGGGTCACCTAAAATATGCAAAATAGGCTATACAAACTTGCGTATGTATTGTTTGGGATTCAGCATCCTTGTATAAGGGACAATAGTCCACGGAGGCGGTTCAATACTTTGAGAGGCATTTTAGAAGTTGTATAGATGAAGAAAAACCAAGTTCTATGGATTTCAGTGTATCACTTGCTTGATAACAGTGTAAGTACCTACACTGACACGTCGCACTCATTGCAATGAAGAAGTTGACTATCCATATTCCTTCAACTTCATTACATACTGAATTCTGGTAATTCTTCTTTACCATGTTACGACCACTTCAGAATATTTGATGCTTTCGAGACTAGTTGTAAAAACGAAAATGTAGAATATACAATATTGGCAAATCTTTTACAACAAAAAGGTAGACTTGTAGATTACTCATTACATCATCTCGTGACGTCAACGCATAATGTAGCGAAACATTCGTTATCCAGGAATCTCTACATGCCGCCCGATCCCCCTTACAAAGAGTCAACATTTCGTACAACCTGGGACGGTACACCGACAGTACAAGAAGGTTATGCTGCCTCAAAACGTCTGCTGCAACAGGTGTCTCGTGGTGCCATAAACCCTAGCTATAGACTCATCTGTGATCTGTATACTGAACCCCATACTTTCTGCCCCGGGGCGGTGGGGTAGCCCAGTGATTAAAGCGTTCGCTCGTCACGCCGTAGACCTGGGTTCGATTCCCCACATGGGTATAATATGTGAAGCCCATTTCTGGTGTCCCCCGCCGTGATATTGCTGGAATATTGCTAAAAGCGGCGTTAAACTAAACTCACTCGTACAATCAGCCTGGTGACGTGTCTTATATCTTATGATCTCCTGGACTGACGAACACCTCCAGTCACTTGATCTCCACGACTGATAAAACCCGTCACGATCCGGGTTAGAATTGGTCTTCAGAAACCCATTAAAGTTTTTTGTCAATCTGGGAGATCATATGACATTTGTATTTCAGTCATGACAGTTGTTTTTTCAGCCGTGGTTTGTTGGTTTGCTGTTTAATTGCACACTCGGCAATATTCCAGCTATACGGCGGTGGTCTAAGTAATGAGAATGAGCGTCGATCTACGTGGATACCAAGATGTGTGTCAACCAAGTCAGCGAGCCTGACCACCCGATTCCGGTAGTCGCCGTTTAAGACCACCATGGGTGGCTGAAGACCAGTTTTAATCCAGATGACATACATGACCATGGGTTGCTGAAGACCACTTCTAACACGGGTCTTGCTGAAGATGATGTCCATCTGTCTTATATCGGAGTCTCTGGGCTTGCTCACACCTGTAATCCTCATAAAGATGTCCATCTCCTCTTTCGTTCCAGTAATTAACCGCGATGGTTTGCAAATTGCAAGTACACTGTACACAAGTTTTCTCTTTCCTGATGAGTAGACAATAGTGAGAACATCTACATACACAATCGAACAATTCTAACCCGGATTATTCACCAAGCCAGCCACATATCCAAATATTTACATGTACTTTATTTGGACAAAAGCAAATATAATTTCTTCCCTCTGTGAGAATGAGGAAAATCACAAACCAAAGCACCACTTGAAAAGTATTTCTTTGCAATATCCAAAGTATTTTCTACGTCTGACAACATTCGGGGGTAGAACTGCAGAACAGCTCGTCCATCTTCATCAAGACAGTCGTGCAGAGATGAAAACAGCATCCCAATGTATCTGTGACAGTCAGGCAGAGTGTAGATCCACTGTAAGGCTGAAATACTCACAACTGTGCCAACACAACTAGCTCGAAAAGGTAAATGATAGAAAATATTTAGTTTCACACAATCCTGACTATTCAGTTTATCTTTACAAATACTTAACATAAACGTATTACTGTCTGTCCCGACCACAAAATATCCAACGCTTTTCAAGATGGCAGAGCTAATTCCGGATCCACTACCAATGTCAAGGACGCGTGGATTCGTTGAGAGAGGTTTCGTGTACTCCAATAGCTCAACGGCTTTCTGGGTGAGTTCTGTTTGTATTCTGTGCATTCGTTCACTTCGCGTATACATCGCTGATTTAGCTTGGTCATAAATGTCCTCAGAATACCCAGTCAGCTCTGGTCGCCTTTGAGCTCCGCCACGAACCGTCCTTACTTTGAAATGTTTCAAACTGTGCACTTGTTCGTAAGTATCGGGGAATTTGAAAACATTCCTGTCTGGTTGCAACAAAAAATACATTCCTCTGCATAAGGCATTGTTACCGTGTATTAGCTTTACACATTGCTGGTGTGGCATAAAATACCATGTCTGTGTTTTAAGACGAACTGGTTTTAAAATCTGCCCCTTCCACAAGTTGTACATGGTAACAAGTCGCGGATACAGTCCCCGACAAGAGGCACTTGCGTTTGATCGGTACTGTACGATTGACTTACATTCTGGTGCACTGATATAAAGTCATCGTGACCTGTTGTGTCGTGAGTGAACTACTTCGTTGTTAGATGTAGTTTGTACATGACGCAATATGAAGTAACTGACCCATGCGTCCTAAATCCGGGCCAGAAACAAATGGAGCGGTACCCGCTAGCAGACCCTCCTTCCGATTACACCGGTTGTATCTGAAAACATGGAATACGTACTAAAACGAAATAATACATGCTGTTGTAGCTGTCGGCCTTGATTGGATTGACAAGTGTGCACATGGCCAAATTGCTGTTACTGATCGTAGCCTATTTATATTACCATAAGGGTCACCTAAAATATGCAAAATAGGCTACGCAAACATGTGTATGTATTGTTTGGGATTCAGCTTCCTTGTATAAGGGACAATGTGCACTTATGATTACTAGTATTTGAATACATGCACCTGTTTAAACAGCGTGGCGCATGAACCAATATTTTAACAGCTTTGTGTTTCAGATAAATATACTATGCAACACGTAAAAACAATTTGACACCTAGTTTAACTTGTGATTGGAATTGGTTAAAATCTCATAATTGATGATTGGTTCATTACAACCGATCAATCATCGAAAATAATTGGTTAGCGTCATGTATCAAATTTTCCTGGTTATGTTTGTTAACACACCAAAAAAAGGAGAATTGCCTTTGCAAACTTCACATCTCTAAAGGATGACTAGTATGTTAGGAACATAAATTCTTTTAAGATAAATTCAATCATGACTTGGAACGAGCTCGTACTACTTTTGAAATGTAAATTTAATGACACAGACCAACCTTGTGAAAAATATTGTTAAAGTGTACCAAAATTGTGTTCGATTATGAGTATACATGATCAATTGCTTTGTCGTCTAATCACTGCGACCAATCATCGGTTGTTTCAATTAATCGGACCACCACTAATTTTGACACCGGTCTAACTTCCTGTGTAGTGTGTGTTTAATGTACAGCATTCACTGATATTATGCATTGTTCTATATCCATGTGCAAGGTATACTTATTATGGATTTGTTAATTTAATTGAATTAAATCGAATCTTTCTCATTAGTCTGTTACATGCTTTACCTGTCCTGTTGCGCTGATTGTGAGTTCGAATCCCAGACCGTACCTAGATTATTGGATACTTCATTTGACAATACAATAATTCTATTGACTGTTGTCTACACATTTAGATATCTATAAGATTGGGGGGTTTTCTGGTCCATACATGTTTAGCGGAGCTGGAATATTGCTGAGAGCAACGTAAACAAACAAACAATATTTCATGTTCATGCATGTGTTGCGTTACATTAGACTTTCATGCGAAACTAATATCTCGCTGCAATACTATTCAAAGTGTCTGTCTTTATGCATGCATCAGTTTGTATCTGTTTGAACACGGGTCACGTTAGACCGTCTCTACCTTAAAGAAATAACTCCAATTTGAAGTACACAGCCCCAGTTTCGATTGTGTTTTCACAATTCAGCTTCCACGAGTTCAAAATCTCAGGTTTTTCTTATTTACAGTTATGCATGTCTGTCGAATAAAAGTTATAGGTCTTGCGCAATTATTTAGAAATTACGGACAAACAGGAATGTCACTATGTGCTCATATACGCTTTAACCATTAGGCTACTCCAGCGCCGTGAGAAAGAGGGATGGAGAGAGCAGAGAACAAAGGATTCGTTCATATATAGGGGGTGTGATACAAAAGTTTACCAAAAAAATGTAATAGTACTATGTGCATGCTCAGTCCCGCATTGTGCACGTGCATATCTGCATGTGTTTGTTTAGTAACTGCGGTGCTGGATATCGATTGTATAGGTCGAGCAACCCCGATATTACAGTACACGACACTAGTGTAGCGTTTGTTTGTATAGATAGCTTAACAAAGTATAGATAACCAGTGTGGGGATTTTGTCAACCTTGGAATCTTTGAAAGACAAAAAAGCGAAATTTACCATATACATTAAAGCTACCCTGTAGGCAAGAAATACTAGTACCATTAATTGTTCAACTGAATCATGTGTATAACAAAACATTTATTTTAGATTATTTAGTGTAGTTCATATGATGGTTTAACTACAAACGATGCTCCGGAGAAAAATAACGCTATATGTCTTTCATATTGATAGCTTAGCCAAAAAAACGATGTTAACCTTTTCATTAATGTCTCATCACTGATAAAATGCTTTTTAATTGGGTCTGTCAGAAACATAATCCTCACTTTTGACAAAACATTCGTACAAATAAGACAGAGTGTGGTTCGTTGCCAGGTTACATCCTGAATCTCAGCCTCGTTCTGAGATCCACTGGTTCAGCTACTCTGAGGTGACTGCATGATATAATAATACTTTATTGCCCGACAAAGGAATTCCTTTTACAACAGTGAGACATACAGCATGGTTAAAACAAATTAAGCAAAGAGCAACGATCACCTTAAACACACAGATAATCAGGATGAGAAGGATAACCAGTGTATACTGTAAGAGACTAGTAGTAAAACACATATAAAATTGTGGCTGGGTCTAACATTCATTTAAAAGTCTAATGCTAACAGGTATAAAAGATGTTTGGGACCTTTTTGTGCGAACTTTAGGTACGAGGAATCTACGTCCAGATGGTAAAAGTTTAAAACAAGAATGTAAATCGTGAGACGGGTCGGATAAAATTTTGTTCGCAGACATTAAAACACGATTCTCATACATATAACAAAGGGGGGTTAAAATTCATGCCGACAATTTTTGAACAGATGGTTACAACTTTTTGCAGTTTGTTTTTGTTTTGGAGAGAAAGGGCACCGAACCAACATTGAACAGAGAACAGTAAAATAGATTGGATACAGCAGTTATAGAAAACATTCAAAATGGTATTGTCAATGTTAAAAGATTTGAGCTTTCTCATAAAATACATCCGTTTTTGACATTTCTTGTATATAGCCTCGGCATTTTGAGAGAAAGTGAGTTTACTGTCTATGATAGTTCCGAGATACTTGTAATCCGTGACAGTCTCTATCGTTTCACCGTGGATTTGCAGAGGGACACGGTTTGAATTTTGCCTGAAGTCAATTACCATCTCTTTGGTTTTTTCTGGTATTAAGCTGAAGGAAGTTTCTGCTACACCATGTTGTAAATTTATTGACTTCAGACCGATAACCTTCTTCAGAGTCTGTCAGGAGAGCGACTAGTGCATTTCATAAGCATTTCATTTCTAAGCTTTTCCCACATATGATTTGTGACAATACCAGTTTATTTCCTTTTCGTCATACACAATTGTTTCCCTTTAAGTATGCCAGAGTCCTTCGAGGGTTCGATTCGCGGGTTCCAGTTCTCTATTGGCTCTGATTCGTGGGTTGTCTGCCCCATGTCCGTTCTCGTGGGTTGTCAACGTGGTGAACGCCTGGTGTATGCTCTGCTAACACGTCGCTATATGTCTGAAGTACACATGAAATTCACATAGGCGGATCAAGAGGGGGGATGCAGGGGTGCGCACACCCCACCCCACCCCCTTTTTTGTCCTGAAAGTTTATTAAATGACCATAGCAACTCTCGCGAAGATTAAGTGTGCAACCCCTCTTTCTCAAACGTGTGCACCCCCTTTTCTCAAAAAGCTGTATACGCCCCTGGAGAAGAAGTGGGGTGAATGGAGTTAATTGCACTCGTACATTACAGCGACATGCATATATGCATGCACGTGTTGGGGGCACACACACACATAGGCGGATCCAGAGGAGGGTCTCTCTCTCTCTCTCTCTCTCTCTCTCTCTCTCTCTCTCTCTCTCTCTCTCTCTCTCTCTCTCTCTCTCTCTCTCTCTCTCTCTCTCTCTCTCTCGCACACAACCAGGTAGTGCGTGCGTCTCTAGTTAAGTTAAACACTACTCATGCTTGCCGTTAAGCCCGATTGAAAATACACCCCACCTCTCCCTGAAATATTGCTAAAAGCGGTGTAAAATTAAAATCACACACTCACTCTTTTGAAACCCATGCAGATTGGGTGACTTCGTTGATTGTCACCATGTCATAATGGGTCGTTGCATGATGATTCTCTGACTACTTCGTCTTTAATGGGAGAAATTTGCAATAGAATTGAATAAACGTATAACTTTTATCGCTGAACCTTTCTTCCTTGTAAGGTATGCAAACGCATAAACCAATGAATTAAAGTGTGGCCTCAATTTAAATTATATATATCTCTCCCGTGCCCATTTGACCTCATCTATATCCCGTTAAATCCATTAGGATCACCTCCTGGTAGGTATAAAAGCCGGAACCTTGTGTATATTCCCGGAGAGGACATTGCATCACGCACAGTTTACGTGATACGGAAGACACCTTTACACATTAGACCATTACGATGTCCACTGGTACGGATACACACGCAATGCAGACTTTAATAGGTATGTATAGATAGCATCCTGTATAATCATCATGCCCGTGACATATATATCCTTTAATATGGCGCGCTGGATACTTTTAAAATCACGAATCATATTTGTGAATTATAGTGTGTGTACGCAGTGAGTCTATGTATAAACCTGGCGTATATATTATATATGAGAAGTCTGTGAGTGGCTTTTAATAACTTGTTTTGCTTTTGATATACGTAAGGTAGAGGCGGAGAATATATACCGAACGCACAACTGTAGTAGCCTATATCTGTTGTATGGTAGATATAGTTTTGTAGTATTTAACGCCATCACTCTGATCACTCGACCAACATAGTCGCCTCTTAGACAACCATAGGGGATCTTACTTGAAATCCCGAAAGGCGGGTAGAGGTGCACTGTATCGCTTGCATTGTTTTTCGTGCTTTTGTCGGACGCCTTGTCAATAAGACCAAATAGCAAGCTGACAAGGTAATATAAGCAGGGGCAGATACAGGATTTTCGTTGGTGGGTGGGGGGTGGGGGGTGCGCACCCCATTCCTCGTGAACCCTAGGCATAAAACATGTAGTACATTTGGAACACTCTTTGCACCCCTTGCACCCCCCCCCTCTGGATCCGCGCATGTATAATTAAGGGTGTCATCTGTGTAATGACTCTACGCCCTGTTACGCTTCGATAACAGCTTACATTTGGAAGTTCATTATTTTCCTGTTTGGGGATCTTTTCTGTTTAGTTATAATTGTCACGTTGTTTCTCAGTCAGTTTACTCAAAGCTATTATTTCATGCTGTTCAG